CCCCCCCTTTTTTTTTTATTTTAACTTAAACTCCATCTTAAAGATAACAAGAACTGTAATAGACACACGGGGATCCTCTGGTCCCAGCTCAGAAAGCAAACGGCCAGCGGCAGAGTCTGTGCATTTCATCAACTCGAAGAGGTCTGGTTTTTCACGTTTCAGAGTCTCTGAAAGTGCAGCACCTTACAGTCATATAACTGGCAGCATGGTAGCCATATCCAAGATAGGAAAGCAGTTTATACTTGGTGTAATGACGTTTAAGATGGTATTTACCTTTTCTATTTTGTTTTGTTTTTAAAGTCACAACACAGAAGTATATGAAGGAAAGTTCTGATCAGCTGACATCCTCTTAATGTGAGATATTTCTAGTCTTTTTACAGTGTTAGATTAATGGATTTAGTTTTATTTTAAATTTCCCAATAGCGCTTATTAGTGCCTTTCAACTTCCTTTAAAATTTTTTAATAAACTTCAGGTTTCTACCAAAGTAGAGAAACTTGCAGAATGAGCTGTTTGTCTACTGCAGCAAGCAACACGTGGCCAAAATTGGGTTTTCTTGTTTGCTTTTATGGCTCTATTTTTGTTGTTTTTTTGAAACAATCAAATGCCATGATCACAAGATTAATGGCAATAATTATCAGTACACAGTAATAATTAATGGTTAATTTTGTATCATCAGGTAAATAATCCAGCTAATGTTAAAAAGCCCTTTAACGTAATTAGATAAAAACTCATATTCTAGAAAATTTAGTTTAAGAAACACCAATAAAATTAAAAGAAAGCATGAGCCTACCATTCTGTAATAACCACTACTACTGTCTTGCCACATTTTCTTCTAGTCACACAAACGCACATACATACTATCTAACCCGCTTACGTGAGCTTCTACCCATTGAATGCTATATCATTTCCCATGATGTGAGGTATTCCGATCTTTATTTCATTTTTTTTAAGTTTCATAAAATGAATGGATATATCTTAATCTACAGATGAACGTTCTGATTTTTGCACGTATCAGGAGTAATGCAATAAATAGTCCTTGTACTGACTAGGCCCTGGATCTCTCATCCTGTAGATGTTGTATTATTGAGTTAAAGGACGTTGAACATCGTGAAGGCCTGGTACAGAAACGAAATTTCTGGAAAAGTTGTCCCAATGGATAAATCTGCCACGCTTATTTCCAGCTTCGTTTTTTACTAGGCAGAATGGTCTAGGCAGCCAGGCTGTATCGAGAAGCTTCCAAATTCATGAATACACCTTAGAAAAGAAAATCTCTTTAAAGTATAAAACAAATTTTTCTTTAAAATACATTTTTAGGGCGAGTTTGAATTAGAAATACAAAACTTCTAATGATTGAACTTTTTATAGTAGAAAAGAAAGATCAAGCAGCAAACATTCCATGACATCTGGTGGGAAGGCGCACAGTGACGGCAGTGGCTAGTGTGTCTAATGAGTGCATGCTTGAATCCCCCTGACACCCTGTGCAAATTGCTGGAGTGAGGATACAGCTCCTTTCTGACCAGACAGCAGTTGACAGGGCCCTGGGCAGGTTTATATATAGTAGTGGTTACCATCCTCAGCCTTGGTCTGACCGTGACTATCCTGGTGGGAACTTGGGGAGAAATAGGAGATATTCTACATCGTTGTTACATGTTGCTGAGGAAAGTCAAGTGCTGACTTACAGATCTGCTTTTTTTTTTTAACATTGGTGGTTCTGTGCCATGGAGTCACTCCTGACTCATAGCGACCCTGTGTATCTGAGGCTATAAATCTTCACAGGAGCAGAAAGCCTTTCTCCTACTGAGCGATTGGTAGATTCAGACTGCTGCCCTTGTGGTTACTAACCCAACTTGTAACCCACCACACTACCAAGGTTCTTTTACCATTCATTGACTAGTGTTAAACGTCTTGTAGAACCTATCATAAGAGGAGCTTTGAAACGAGTATTTGCTTTATCGCTAACATTCCTTTTTTACTGACGTCAGATAGAGTCCTGGTGTGGCACTGTAGGATCAGCACTGGACTACTAACCCCACGGTCAGCAGTTCAAATCCACCATCTGCTTCTTGGAAACCCTATACAGGGTGGCTGTGAGTCAGAACTGACTCGACAGCACTTGACAACAACAGGACTAAATGGGTCCTTGTCTCTTTTGCTTCCATCTTTAGGAACTTGATCCTAAGGTTGGCCCCAAACTGACCCAGTTACCAACTTTGTTTTTCATACCATTTGATAGTTGTTTTTTCGTTTTTTGTTTTTCTCTGTGTAGAGCATTCAAGGCTTTGTAATGATACTTTTCTTGTTCAGAGCACATTGAGTGGATTTTTTTCTAGTGCAAAAAATATTATTAAAATTCATCCTGTAAGATCACAGTTTATGAGCAAGACTTGTTAAGTAATATTTTCAAAGCTTTACTCTGTTTTACTCTCAGTAATAATCTCTAAACTGTTTTATCTGTCTTAAAACCCCAAGTAAAACTATTGGATCAGCTAGGTTACTATAAAACCTGCTGAAACTTACAAGTTACTGAGTTTAAAACCAGGCAGTGTATATACATGTATAATGTATATTTTGTGACTGTTCCACGGATAGATGAGGTAGCATTATTAATATCTCCTGCAGGGGTAGCTCTGGAATGAGCACAGATTCTTTCTGTTATGAAAAGCATCGTATTTCCCAACAAGCAGGGACACAGACACTGTTCCCATGGCCAGGGATTGCTAGAAGTGTTTGTGTCTCACTGAGTTGCTACGTGGTTTAGTTTCTCAGACAGGGTTCCAGTTATGAAACAAGCTACTAGAGGTGTTCTAAGAGGAAAGGCAGTCAAAACAGAAAGATGTTTACAGAAGCCTTGGAGAGTTGATGGTGCAGGCTCTAGGTTAGGCCTCAACAGACCACTTACCAGAAGAGCTGCAGCCACTGTCCCAACTGAGAAAACGGGAAGTCAGGAGTATGGATCTAAGAACATCTTACCACACCTTTGATTCTGGGATCAAGACATTGGGATCAGGAAGCAGCCTAGATACGGGAACGGGAAATCTGGCCCTCGATGCAGCTTCCGTGAAGCATGATGGTAGGATTGACTTCTCTGTGGCTTTCCAGCAGAGGACAGCCACCACAGCAGGCCGGTGGCACTGCCTCCTGTCCACCTCTCCAATCTCTGCAGGGACTCAGAGGCCTGGAGTTGTGAATCTTCCAGCATCCTAGGCCGAAGCTATGTGGAAAAGCTCAAAGGGAACAGAGGCTGAATGAAACATGTCCCTTACAGAGTCAACTAGTAGAAAGGTGTCAGGCTTGTTTCCAGGTTGACAATTGACTTGCGTCTCATTTTCCATAAATTAAATGTCGACTGGAGCTGATCACTCCCTTACATTCTGCCTTCCTTTCTTGAGTGGAGAGGATGAGAGCATGGACTTACAGCTGATGAGCTAGGAATCCTCTAACTCCCAGTTGGAGGATGCGTCCTGCCCGTGTGTGCATCCCTAGCCTTGCACATCGGGAGTCACATCTGTGCAGATGTCAGTACTCTGCACTTCCCACTGGGGTTCAACAACTCACCAGCCACTCCTTACCTACTTACCTACCCTATACAGGATAGCTGTAAGTCAGAACTGAGTCGAGGGCACTTAACAGCGTTCGATTAACAGTGCTAAGGAGCACTGGTGGTACAGTGGTTAAGCACTTGATTTCATTCCACAAGTCACTCTGGAGGAGAAAGGTTTGCATTCTACTCCTGTAAATGCTACAGCCTCGGTAACCCTATAGGGCAGCTCTTCTTTGTCCTATAGGCTCCCTGTGTGTCAGAATCCGCTCTAGGGCAGTGGAGCATCAGCAGTGTTGCTGGCAGTCTTTAAAGCCTAGTTCCTTTTGAAGTCCTAATTTATGTGTTTTCAGGCTGTGGTTTCTCAGTCAGCTCATCGGTTATGTTCTAATTATATACTCACTTATGTATATTTGAAATAGCTTAAAGTTTACATAAAGATAACAGAAATACTACACAGAGCTCCCCATCTACCTTTTACCCAGATTTTTCAGTTATTTATAACATGATTTCTCATTTTGCCTCCACATTTCAGAGTATCAGGGTAAGTCAAAAAGTATTGTTACAAATTCATAGAAACCATTTTACTAATCTAAAATATCAAAATGTGAATCGATTGTTTCTCAACATCTCTTCCATCATTGTTTTCATCTTTCTAGCCCTTGCCTGAAGAACTCTGCACTCTTAAACTTGTACAGAACACATCACAATGGCAGTTTTGACATCCTTTGGGGACTAGAATCATGTCCTTTGAGACATTCTTGAGTTTGGGCACCAAAAAAGTAGTCTGAAGGGGCAAGATCAGGACTATACGGTGGATGGGATAAGGTTTCTCAGAGAAATTCTCATGGGATAGTCCTTGCTACCCTCTGAAGAATGAGCAGGTGCGTGGTCAGGATGGGAAAAGATTCCTTGGCACAACTTTCCTGGCCTTTTTTTCTCCCAAATGCAGTTTTTCATTTCTTCAAATGTCTTCCTAATAAACCCTGTGATCGTCCTGTGTCGTTCAGGAAAGGACATGCCATGGCCTTCTGTGCTGACTTCTTTGCCTTGGATTTAATTGGATCACAGATCCCCTGAAAGCTAGTTTCCATTAGACTTTGCTCTCTGATCATATTAGTAAACCCAAGACTCATTCCTACTTAACAGTTCGTTCCATGAAACCAACTTCATTAGTTGCAGTTGTGCTTAAAAGATGGCAAGATCTGCTCTCTGAGCCAGCTGAGCTTGCCACAACACTTTTGACACCCATTAAGCTGAAAGCTAGCTGAGGCCAAGATGTTCGCTTAAAATTGAAAACACTGAACCTTGTGAAATCCCATCTTGAGTAGCTGGCATATGTGTTAGTGGTAATTCTATGGTTTTCTTTCACCGGTTTCTGGACTTCAGTCACAATTTCTTCATTCGTTGAGGTTGACAGTCTTCCCTCTCTTGACTAGTGTTTGAGATCTTCCCACCCTTTCTTAACATGCTGGATCCATCTAAAAACACTTTCATTTTCCTGTAAAATTTTTGTAAAGTTTCAGTGATTTGGAAATATGCCCACTTGGATTTTGTTAAAAATTTATTATGAATCCTGACTTCAGAATCATTATTTTGCACTTTTTTTGAAGATATTCTAATGAGACTAAGACAAGTATATTTCTGAAAGAGCTTGTCTGCAGCCATCCTCTGATTGCAGAGACACATTTAACCACCTTTTGCTTGGAATAAATCCGTGTATGTATGAACTGGAACACTTACTTTGACTTAACCTCATCTCATAAAGTTTATAATTACAAGAGCATACTCTTTGACATATTCACAGCATAGTCCTCATGTTTAAACATGTTTTAATGTGGTGTCTGACTATGTTATTCCTTTTTAAAAAGTAGAGGAAGACATTGTCTTAATGCAATAACTATGAGAACCTAAGAATCAGTGCTTTCATTTCATCCTTGTATCTGGTGACTGTCTCAGGTTTGTTGTTGTTAAAGTGCCGTCAAGTCGGTTCCGACTCATAGCAACCCTATAGAGGCTTTCAAGGAATAGTTGGTGGGTTTAACCTTGGGGTTAGGAGACCAGTGCTTATCCTACAGCACCACTCCAGGACTCAGGTTTAGGCCCCAGATAACAGATGAACAAGAGGGCTTGGTGTTTTCGCTGTGCCTAATCTAAAGAGGGGAGGGACAAGCAAGAGAAGATTAGCAGGAGATGTCTAGTTTACGCAGAGAATTAAAATGAGATTCTTATTTGAAAAGCCATCTGTCTAAACAGTAAGCAAGTCATCTTGTGGAGACAATATGAGAAATTCAGGTTTTCTCTCATGTTTTCCAAGGATCTACACTTCAGAACGTTTAAGTAATACACACTGTGTGTCTGTGAAATGAATTGCTTTGCCATTCATTTGTGGTTTTTATGCCAAAGAGTATTTTTCGGGAGAGCAGTTTCTATTCCATGTGCATAGTTTTTCTCAGGGTACATTTTTTCTTTTATGTGTGCTGTGTTTCTTGACTGTGTATTCATCTTTGCATGTTTCAGGCAGCAACAGCAGCAGCAGGTGGACCCACCGGGACCAGCACCACGTCCATGTGAAAGGCCGACCACAAGTTCAGGAGCTCTGGGGACTGACCTAAGTAAGACTCTCCGACTGACCTCATCACATGTGTCACCGATAGGCTCCATTAGACATACAGATTCCATGTGATCTTCATGTCACAACTTGTTTTCCACTTTCTGATTGTCCTGGAATGTTTGAATTGATTCATAATCTACTAGATGCCCCTGGGTTGACAACTAGGGAGATCAGAGTGTTCACGGAATGTTTTTCTTTAAAATGATGAGCATGGTACTTGTTACTGCACAGTAGTTAGTACCTCCTTCAAAAACTCCTCACGAGATTGTCAACATTTTCTGACCTGGAAAAATGAAAACACTCAAGTGTAGTTTAAATAATAGGACACTGAGTTATTGAAAGAACTCTCAAAACAACAATAAAAACAATTTTAACATCACCCTGACGTGGTGCTCCTCAGAAATGACTGGTGAGCTTGAACTGCTGACCTTGTGGTCCAAACCGACCCCAGTCCAGTGTATTAACTCACAGCGTCACACATCACAATGTAATGCCACTTTACCCTATTCTAAATGCTGAGGGTCAAGGCTACAGTTACACTCACAGGTAGGGGCTTCAAAGAGTTCTTGGTAAAAATGTAATGAAAAGATCATGGCATTTTTCCACAACCTTTTTGGAGCCTCCTCACTCGTTGTTGGTGGGAATGCCAAATGGTGTAAAAACTTTGGAAGACAGCCTGGCAGTTTCTTATAAATGTAAATATACACTTAGCCATGCTGCCCAGCAGTGCTGCTCCTAGTTACTGATCCTGTGGTCAGGAAGGACCCTTGTGTTGGTTCCCCCTCCGAGTGACCCTGTAGAGGGTTTCTGAGGAGGGGCTGGTGGGTTTCAACCTCCAGCCTTGCGGTCAGCTTTCTGCTACTGCGCCTACAGCGCCACACTGTATTGCAAATACTTGTAATGGTTTTATTCATAGTTGCCACAAACAAAATGACCTGAATGTCACTTTCTCCTGGTGAGTGGACACCCAGATGGGTGTGGCCGTAAAGTGCGATGCTGTGTAGCACTAACAAGGAAAGAACTGGGGCTTTTCCATTCTGCTGCTGCTCAGACCACCTTCAGAGGTTTTGAGCATTCTAGAACTGAAACAGACCGAAGAGTCTGACAGGCGAGCAGAGGCAGACTGGTTTAGTGCCTGGTAGTGAGTTCTGTGTTTTCTTTTTTGCCTCATGTGTTCCAGACTTGCTATTGGAAAAGCTATGGGTATAAACAAAAATCACAGGAAATGCCTGCTTTTGTCGCAGAGTGCTGGTGGTTATGTGCCGTGGAGTCGGAACCGACTCATAGCGACCCTGTACAGGGTTTCCGAGGCTATAAATCTGTACGGGAGCAGAAAGCCTTATCTTTCTCCCGCAGAGTAGCTGGTAGTTTCAAACTGCTGACCTTAAGGTTCGCAGCCCGATTCATAACCAGTAGCTTGAAAATAAACCCATGCATGTATAAACTGGAAAGCTGGAATTTTAGGGGCTGCTTAGTGAGACAGAACATTTAGACAATAAATGCTGTACTCAGACAAGCACCACAGAAGAAACTGGGGCCCTACTCAGGAAACGCCAGGCAGGGAATCTAGACTTGTAACACACACACACACACACACACACACACACACACTTCCAGCTAGGGTGGTGTCAGAGAAGTGCCAAGTGGAGGTCTGACAGAGGAGTGAGGGTAGTGACCTGCAGGGGGAGCAATTGGACCCACACTGAGGCCAGAAGTGGCAGGTTTTTCCACCTTCAACAGGTTCCTGATTTTACAGGTTTTCCTGTACATAGGAAGGATTTCAAAATATTAGATTAAAAGTGGGGGAAGATAAAGGGAGGTAAGATTTCTATACTTTATTCAAAGTGGGACAGCCAGTGTGGAAAATAATATGGCAGATATTTATAACCTGAAACATACAGCACCACCCTCGTAGGTCAGTTTGACATACTGTGGTGACTTGCGTGTTGCTGCGAGTGTGGAAACAATGCCACTGTGTTTTAAATAGCAGCAGGGGTACACCCGTGGTAGACAGGTTTCAGCTTAACTTCCAGTTAGGAGAGGAGGCAGACTGCTTCCGAATGTTTAGCCACTGAGAAGCTTATGAACAGCAGAGGAACACTGTCAGTTAGCACCAGAGGATTGAATGTTGAACATGATGAAGAATTGTGTCAAATATAGTGCCGGAAAAATGAGCCCCTCAGGTGGGAAGACACTCAGAATACAACTGGGGAAGAGCTGTCTCTTCAACGGAAAGTTCATTGCGGTATGAATGCTGTAACACTTTTTAGAACCTACAATTGCTGATGGCGCACAACTCAAAATGAGGAGAAACAGCTGTAAACATTTATTAGTAATCAGGCCATTGAATGCACCAAATATGAAACTAGGATAATTGGAAGTTGTTAAAAATGAAATGGGATACATAAAGATCACTATCCTAGGTGGTGGTATTAAATGCCATCAAGTACATTCTGACTCATAGTGCATGAGTTGGAATGTGTATTGGATTTCTGAGGAGTAGTTGGTAGGTTTGAACTACCAACTTTGTGATTCAAAATCCAGTGCTGCTCCTACAACACCACACCAGGAGTCTATTCTAGGCATTAGAGAGCAGAAATGGACTGGTGTTGGCCATTTTGAATTTGACAATCATATGGTTGACTATGCCAGGAATGACAAATTGAAGAGGAATGGTGTCACTTTCATCATCAAAAAAGTAACATTTCAAGATTTATCTTGATGTAGAATGCTGGCTGTGATAGGATAATAGCCATACTCTTGCACGGAAGACCAGCTTACACCACTGTCATCAATTCTATGCCCCAACCACTAAAGCCAGCCACAGTGAAATGTAAGTATTCAGTCAATTTCTTTAGTCTGAAATTGATCAAACATACAATCAACATGATTGATTGATAATTACTGGTGATTGGAATGCAGAGGTTGAAAACACAGAGCAAGGCTCTTTGGAAGACATGGCCTTGTAATAGAAATGGTGCTGGAGATTATATAATAGGAGTATGCAAGACCAGTGATGTCTACATTGCAAATGCCTTTTTTAAATAGCATAAAAGACAGCTATACACATGGACCACACCAGATGACATACACAGAAATCCAGTTGACTACATCTGTGGGAAGAAACAGGGAAAAGCTCCATATCATCAGCCAAAATAAAACCAGGGGCAAACTCTGGAACAGACCATCAGTTGTTCATATTGCAAGTTCAGACTGAAGCTGAAGACAATTTTTAAAAAGTTCACTAGAGCCAGAATTGATGTTGAACATTGCTGTTAAATGCGAGTCGGTTTTGACTCACAGTGACCCTGCATTGGGTTTCCGAGGAGCAGCTGGTGAGTTTGAACCACTGACCTTGTGGTTCAGACTGACCTAGAGGTACATACAGTATTTTATCCCACAGAGCCATACCAGCACATATCCCACCAGAATTTAGAGATCATCTGAAGAACAGATTTGATGCATTAGATACTAATAACCAAAGACGGGAAGAATTGTGGGATGACATCACGAACATCATACAGGAATAAAGCAAAAAGTCATTAAGAAGACAAGAAGAAAACGACCAAAAAAAAAAGATGTCAGAAAAGACTCTGAAGCTTACTCTCCAGTGTAGAGATGTTAAAGCAAGTGGTAGAATTGAGGAAGTCAAAGAGCTGAGCAGAAAATTGCAAGGGGCAGCTTGAGAAAATATAGTATTGTGATGAAATATGCTAAGATCTGGAGTTTAGAAATCAAAAGGGAAGAAAATGCTCAACATTTCTCAAGCTGAAAGAATTGAAGACCAATTTCAAGCCTCAATTTGCAACATTGAAGTATTCTGTGGCGCTGTGGGTTAATGTGCCAGACTGCAAAGCCGTTTGAACTGCAAGGTCAGTGGTTCAAGCTCACCAGTCACTCCTCAGAAACCCTGTATAGGGTCGCTATGGGTCGGATCCGACTCAACGACACTTAACAACAACAACAATATGGGCAAAATATTGAATGATGCAGAAAGCATCAAAAGAAGATGGAAGGAATACACAGTCACTGTACCAAAACGAAATGGTCAGTGTTTAAAGACCTCAAGAGAAGGCTTGTGATCAAGAGCCAAGGATCCTGATGGAAGAAGTCCAAGGTGCACTGAAGTCATTGACAAAGAACACGGCTCCAGGAATTGGTGGGATAAAAATTAAAATCTTTAAATTTTTTTTGATGCAGCACTAGAGGCACTCATTCATCTAGGCCAAGACATTTAGAAAACAGCTCCCTGGGCCAACTGGTTGGAAGAGATCCATACTTGTGTCCATTCCAAAGAGAGATAATCCAACAGAGTGCTGAGGTCATCAGACAAGATCATTAGTATCACATGCTAGTAAAATTTTACTCAAGATAATTCAAAAATAGCTGTAATAGTACATTGACAGGAAACTGCCAAAGGTTCAAGCCGCACTCAGACAAGGATGTAGAACAAGGGCTATCACTGCTGATGTCAGATGGATCTTGGCTGAAAGCAGAGAATACCAGAAAGATGTTTTCCTGTGCTTTATTGACTATGCAGAGGCTTTCGACTGTGTGTATTGTTACAAGCTATGGACAACATTGTAGAGAATTGAATATTCTGTAACGCTTAATTGGGTTCATGGCGAACCTGTATGTCAACCAACAGAACAAGGAGATACTGAATTGTTTAGTATCAGGAAAGATGTGCACCACATTTTATTCTGTTACTGTACTTATTCTGTATGGTGAGCATATAATCTGAGAAATTTGATTATATGAAAAAACCTGGCATCAAGATAGGAGGAAGATTCATTAACAACCTGTGATATGCAGACGATACAACCTTGCTTGCTGAAAGCAAAGAGAATTTGAAATATTGATGTAGATCAAAGACCATAGCCTTCAGTATGGATTGCACCTCAGTGTAAAGAAAACAAAAATCCTCACCACTGGACTAATAAAATCATGATAAATCGAGAAAAGATTGACGTTGTGTAAAGACTTCATTTTGCTTGGATCCACTGTCAACAGTCATGGAAGCAGCAGTCAAGAAACAAAACGACATATTGCATTAGGCAAATCTGTTGCACAAGGCCTCTTTAAAGTGTTCAAGAGCAAAGACATCCATTTTAGGACTAGGTGCACCTCACTCAGTCTTTGGTATTTTCCATAACTTATCTACCAGGTGACCAACCGCTGTCACTGGCTACAGAATGGCTGGGAAGGCCAGCAGTGAAGGTGACTGGGGACCTGGTCTGTACACGTCAGCTTTGCTTTTGTGGAATCCTTCCCTGTACCCCCTATACTGCAGTCCCTGGGGCTGAGGGAGAACGATTATCACCATGCTCTGCCCACCGTCCTCCATGGGGGCCCTCCATGAGGGGGTCCACCTCCGCAGGGGCGTGCTGATGTTCAGGGTGGGGGGAGGCAGACTGGTAATGGCATGGTAGGATGAAGCACTGAACTGCGATGTTCGTTTGAACCACAGGGTTGATGGTTCAAATTCAGCTACTCCTTGGAAACCCTTTACAGGGTCACTGTGAGTCGGAACTGACTCAATGACACCAACAGCAGCTACGTATGTGTGTGACAGTTGGACAGTGAATAAGGAAGACCGTAAAAGAATTGATGCATTTGAAGGTGTTGGAGGAGAATATTTAAACATATCATGGACTGCCAGAAGAGCAACGCAATTTGTGTTGGAAGAAGTACAGCCAGAGTGCTCCTTAGAAACCAGGTTGGCCAGACTTTGTCTCCCATACTAAAGACGTAACATCAGAAGGGACCAGTCCCTGGAGAGAAGGACATCATGCTTGGTAAAGTGGAGTGTCAGCAGCAAAAAGGAAGACACCCCCACCACCACCACCACCAAAGGGGTGGATTGCCACAGTTCCAGAAGCAATAGGCTCAAGCTTAATTATGTCAGGAGGGATCAAAACGGCGTCACTTTCTCAAAATGTCAGAATTCTAGAGCTGAAAAATCACTTCATGATTGCCTGAGCCTAAGGAAATTTGGGGGAAAAGGAAGTGAGTGTGAATCAAAAAGAGTTGCAAGAGGCAGAGTCTTGGTACTTTAGCAGGTTTTTAGGAGTCCTGGTGTGGCTCTCTAGGATAAGCACTGAAACGCAAGGTCGGCAGTTCAGACTCAGCAGCCACTCTTCAGAAACCCTCTGTAGGGTTGCTAAGCATGGGAACCCACTCAGCAGCATCTAAAAACAAGCACTGTTTCTTGGCTGGGCTGGTGGAGATTACACAGATAGCCACCTAGGATTGAATACTGTAGAACTAAGTACACGTGCACCTTGTACCCATGTGGACCGTGTTTCTGTGATTTATGACTGTCAGGGAAGTTGGTCCAAAGAGTACAACTGTACTGAACTCTGTGCAACTACCTGTGATTCTATAATCGTTTGATAATGAAAAATATTCGAAAATGAACTGTTGACATTTCCAACAACATGGGAATGGATCCCAGTTGCATTGTGTAAATGAAAGAAGCCATACTCCAAAGGCTGCATACGTCCTTAGGGATTTCCTCATATGACATCTGGGAAAGGGACATAGAACCTCTCTCTGTGCTGTTGGCCTCAAAGGGGCAACACTAGTTCATTTTCTGGAGTGTTTTTTGTTTTCTTTTGTTTTTTTACTGTGAACTGAGTGATAGTTTACATGGGAGAATGTCGGCTTTGCAGTGATTACAGTATCCTCTGTGCATCATCATTCAACAGGATTTGCTTCCATTCCCTCTGGTGTTTTGATATTTGACAAATCTATGCATTTGTCTGAGAACCACAAGGTTGGCAGTTCAAACCTACCAGCTGCTCCTCAGAAATCCTATATGGGGTCGCTATGAGTTGGAACCAACTTGACGGCACTTTAAACAAAAACATCAACAAAGAGAGTGAATTTTACTCTTGTGAATTAAAAACTCAAAAAAAGACAAGAAAGAAATTAGTGTTTAAAAAGATACAAGATGCCCATAATCTAAGAGTTTACTTTTGAATGACTTTGAGAATTTCTTAGAAATGTGTTTTCTCTCCCACCAGGTGATACTATGAGTGAAGAAGATATGCTTCAGGCGGCTGTGACCATGTCTTTAGAAACTGTTAGAAATAATTTCAAGACAGAAGGAGAAAAATAACAATGCCTTTTAAAAACCTTTTCAGTATCCCTACTTTCCTACATTCCCCTGTGTGATTACATCTGGTTCTTTATAACAATTTGTCAGAGAACAACATACAACAGAGGAAATAAGACTGGGATGGTTTGCAAACAAAACGGTAAAAAAGTGGAAAAAGGCATCCGTTGTAGGACTAAGTAATGGTCCTCCACATACTAGCCAAAGAGGCTTTCCGCAATTAAAGGAATTTTAAATAGTTTTCTAAATGTTCCTTCTTTTTTGAGTGTGCAATATTTAGCATGTCTAAAATTGGGACCTTTTTCTCAGATCTTTTTGCAGACCACTTAAATTAGCTCTTGCCACAGAACTTTTTCCATACATTTTGTTTCCTTTTTTCCTATTCTATGTAGGTGATTTGACTCACCCTGACCATTCAGTGGTCGTTCTGATTTCTCATGAACCAGATTGACCTTTTGGGAAAGTATCTTGCGTCTCTGTTGATTATAATAATGGTTCCAGGGGGACAGACCATTCTCCCTACAACCGTTAAGCACTAGGCTGTTCGCTCCTGTGAACTGCTTCTGATCACAATTTCTCTGCTTCCTGGTTTACATTGTTTTTATACAACTCTTTCAAAAGAGGATCACCGTTCTCTCTTGAGGTTTGATTCTTAAGCCCTCGAAAATGGGATCATTATTTCATGACTCTGGTGCATTTCTAAACTCTGAAATCAGCCCCGCACAAATACCCGAGAATAAATCATTTTGTTTTTACGTGTGACCACGTGCATTCCCAGCTACTACGCGAATGTCTTCTCAAGTCTGAACTTTACAGCTTTGTGCTAACCCTCTCTTCTGCACCTTACTCCTTTTCTTCTCCTAGAGAGAAAAACAGGGAAAGCAGCGTATGCAAAGATGTTTCCTTTTGCTGTAAGACAACATATGATACCCACCGTGAATGTATGACAGAGAAAATTGGCCTTCAATTTTAGTAGCTGTTTTCATGAGAATGTTTTCTCTTGTGACGAGAGTTTTCCGTTCCGTTTGCGCTTGAGTCATGGAACATAGATGTCTGCTTCTGCCGCACATCTTTTCATAGGAATAGCTTGCCAGAGGAGATCTGGACCATGCAAATAATTTACTAATGGAAACGTGTTTAAGTTTATACGGTAATTCGACACTTCCATGGTATTTAAATAGCTTAAGAATTATAGAGGTCACACACAATGTGGTGGATCTCTAAGTAAGAAAGGCTGTAGTTTTGATAAAGTCTTAAGTAGGGATTAACAGTTTCTTGTTGAGTCCATGGAGCGGTCTAATTTGATGAATTTGGGCATTTAAATTCTGTCATCTGTTCCCCACCCTTTGCTTTCCAACCCCCTTTGCAAGTCTTTCGAAAATTGTGTGGCTCACAAGCTACCAATCAAGACAAGAAGTCCTTTGACACCATAGGTGCCGTGTGTGGCTGTGCACTAGCTGGATGGCTGCACATACTGGATCAGGGAAGGTTTTTTTTATTTGGGATTGATTGCTGACTACCTAAACAGAGATGAGAGCTTGCCTTTTATTTCTGATTAGGAAATATTTTTTAGAGAGAAACAGGTTTGGTTTTGTTTAGCCATTATTTTGTGCCAAGGAAAGTTCTCTGAGGTTTCTAAATTCTAACGTTTTCTTTTAACAATTGAAAATGTGTCTGAGAAATAATGAAATGTTCGAACAGCAAGAGATGACATGTGGAACGTTAGCACTACTATTTGGTTTGGAAATCTCGAGATTAATAAAATACTTTCAAGATTGAACGTTTCTCTCCGAATTCCCAGGACTCCAGTCATATTGTCCATGGGTATTTGACCTTTTTCTTTTCCCATGGAAATGGCAAAACATTAAACTTGTCATACGCTTTAACTGATACAATAATGCGGAAACTAATATGCATTAAAGTTTTAACCTTAACTAGAATTTTAAAGTTCATATTTTAACAGTAATGTACCATACTGTGATTAAAGCACTTAAGGAAGTAGGATATTTTGACCTTAATATGTTAGGGATTTTTTGAAACAGAACGGAGCAGCCCACATTGGATGTAGCTAAATGCATTTGATTTGTTTTCAAATTGCTATATTTGGCACATGGATCCAACAGTACCAGTCACCTGCCATCTTGTTTATAATGGCTTAATTTTAACACTTTTCATCCATTAATCAACTGGAAAGTAGTATGAGAAAATGCCAGTGCCCAGACCCACAGTATCAGAAAATTACAAAGTTCATACAAAGATACAGTTAGCACATGGTAATCCTGCAAGAAAATCAGAAAAGGCTACGCTCACAATATAATGGTCCTTCTAAGAACTTATAAGGATTTCCATTCTGTTTTACCAATTGGAAAAAATTAATGTTTAATATTTAAACTATTGGTATCATTTTTCTAATGCATCATTTGTAGTAACAGGATTTACTGTGTCCCGTGACGGCAGCAGTATTCTATGTAAAGTTTAAACAAGCTTTGGAGATGCCACTTTATTTCCATATGTTACAGATTTAATAAGTAGTTACGTTTATAAAAATTCAGAGTAGTTAACCTCTGATTGAAAACCACCACTGTCCATTTTTTCACGTGATGAGCGTGAATGTGTCAGGAGTATAAATTATTTGAAAAGGTTGCTGCAGGTAAACTTTATATTTCCATTCTAAGATTTTGACCAAATAATTTATAATTCACAATCTATTTTATTTGAGGTGCTTATTTCCTTTAAAACTTGATTTTTCTTAATTAAGGCTTTATTGTGATGCCAAATGTAATTTAATGAGTAAAAAAGTTCCAAACCTAGTTAAATATCATTCATTATAGGCAAAACTAATAGTCTGTATTGTTTTAGCTAATATTAAACAATAAATTTTTTTCTACTCAGAACCTGAAACACATTTTTAATGTCTGCATGTTTGATACTATTTTCTTGCTAGTGCCAAGGTTTACTTAAATGCTTTAAAATTGGCCCATTGGATCTGTGCAAGTCCAAGAAAAGATTCAGTGCATTAACAAAAAAAATGATAATTGAAAAAAGAGAGAGAGAGAATGTAAATCTTGGTGTTCTGAACTCTTAGGAGGACTCAATAATATTGATGACTTCTATTAAAATGTTTATCTGCAATTGCAGAAGCCTTGGGCCACTATTTCCAGAATGAAATGTTTATTTAACAAGTTTGGATACGATAAGCCACATGTAATTGGAATTACGGAAAAGCAGATTAGATCAGCTAGTCAATTCAGCAATGTAAATAATCGTCCCCCATATTTCCAAAATAAAATCCTTACTTCATTCCTAGTCCCTTTATAGCCAGCATCATCTGTGCTAAAATATATATATATATGCTGCATCTTTGTTGCTGTCAAGTCAGTACAATACAGAGCAACAGTGTTTTTTGTTCCCTTCCACTTTCATGGGCAAAAGGATTATTGACAGGGTTGATTAATTTGAGATTTTATTTTATTTTTAATTTGAAGAAAGTCTTTGCTATTTTAATTTTTTTCCACAATGGCCTGGCATTTTAAGAAGTAACAATAGCCTCATTTTGAAACTTACACTAATTGGCATGCTTAATGAATAACATTGTATCTCAGTAAATCTTTTCAGACTGTGGGTAAATAGACAAAAAACAGTAGGAAGCGTCGGTTAAATACATGTAGAAAAATTCCTGACTTGTTTAGTAAGCGCTTCAGCTATTCTGCATAGTTCAAAGGTGAATGTTTCCAGGAATTATTTGTTATGCTTTTTCTTTTTGAAAGTGTACATTTGAAATGTGATTATCTAATTTCTACTACACTGGATTATAAGGAATAACCTTTTTTTTTATAATTGCTGTTCTATAAAAATAAACTCTTTGGAATTCAAATAGAAAAAAAAGATCTGAAATGAAAAGCATTGCATTTGGCTGCAATACACATGCGCAGCGCCAATGCCTTTTGCTCAGGGACCAACTCACAGCCCTTCTGTGTGTGCCCCTTGCCCTGACCCTGCACACAGGCCCCCCGTCTGGTCCCTGGAAAAGCCGGGCTTCCAAAGCACTGTTAACACTGAGGAGTCTACTGTTATGTGGATGTTCCATGAGTTGTATTTTAAATATCAAAAGATTATTAAATAAAGAATGTTCACTTTTTAAAATTTCCTTTGCTACGGGTGTTCATTTTATAAACAAGTCCTCTCCTACCCTTGCTATTCAGTGTGATTGGAGGACCAACAGCATCTGTTTTTCAGAAATGGCAGATTCAGGCCATGCCACCACCAGCTGACCCTGAGCATGCGTCTTCATAAATTCTTCAGAAGACTTGGCAAGTGTGATGTTTGAGCTGCTACCTCTCTTTGTTGGACTTTCTGATCCAGCTTCAGTAATGACAGCAGGTGGGGGCATGTGAAGAGAGGCACTGGGTTTCCATTCTTGCCGACTGCTGCCAAAGGGGCCTTTTACTACCAGAGCTTCAGAGCTGCTCCCAGAGAAACAAGGAAAATCATTGCTGAGTTGTCTTTGGAATCTGACTTTAGAATGTTGACTCACTGTCCTAACCCTGGGGGTTAAGAGCACATTAGTAGTAGTTCGCAGAAGCTCTGCTTTCCCTTACCCAGCTGTCATGGTTGGGAACCACCTGAACCAACTACAGATTGCAGAATGTCAATTTTAGAATGAGTTTTATATCCATTTTAATCTTAGGGATTAGTACATATCTTGGAGAAGCACTGGACTGCGACCCACAAGGTCAGCATTCTGAGTCTACCAGCCACTCTGTGATACAAGGATTTCTGCTCCCACAATTTTTTAGTTTCGGAAACACTAGGGTTGCTAGGAGTCTGAACCTACGAGATAGCACTTAACGTATGCATGTGAAAGCTGGACAATGAAAAAGGAAGATCTAGAAATTGATGCATTTGAATTATGGTGTTGACAAGGAATAGGCATCACACTATGGACTGTGATGTACAATTGAGAATGAACAAATGTGTCTTAGACTAACTGCCAGAATGTTCCT